ACGCTTTAAAATTCTCTAGCTCCAGCTCCTCGCTCACGTCAAGAACGAAGACGCTATCGTCGCTGAGTGTCGTCACCGTCACCTTCATCGTTCGCGCTGGACGACTTGGACTCTACAGATAAACACGAGGACGCGCGTCCGCTTCGCTCTCTCACCGTCGATGGGAAAATGCCAGGAAAGATCCACGCGACGGGTCCTCAGCCCTCGCGAGACTCGAGGAACAGGCGAAGATGTATAACGTGGCGAGACGGGAGGGGCGAGCTTATTCACGGCGAGTCCTCCGCCGTCCTCCGGATGTAAACACGAGACCAACTTAGCAAAAATATTGAATTTGGGAACACATATTTAAGAAAAAAGGAAGGGCCTCTGTCGAAATAATCGTGAAGTATGGAGTTTTAGAACGCAATTTGATAAAAATAGCCCTCTACCGGAATAATCGTAAACTACACAATTTTTGATGAGTTTGATGAATCGACATAGAATTTATTTAAGAAAAAAGTTTTTTGGCGCAATAATTGTAAATATCGTATTGTAAATACAAATTATAAATTATAAATGTTTAGATTTTTAATTATCCAAATGATATTCTAACAGTCATAATCGTAACAGAGAGAAACTTGAGAGAGCTGGGGGTCGATCTTGTTGTGTATCTGAAATGAAATGAAGTGAAAATTACAAAGTTAAAACAAGTTAATTTAATGAATTTTTTGTCTTATAATATTTTATAAAATTACGAAGTTGTTTCTCTATGCAAATTTTCAGCCCGTGTTTTTATCAAACATAATTACTAGTGTAACTCTTTTATTTTAGAATAAGACGTAAATGATTAGAATCATTTTATTCTAAAATAAAAAAGTTATTTAGCATTATTTTAAGTACAACACTTCTAACTTATTTCTTATTTAATATTTTAAATAAGTTTTCCCGAATCTATATTATATTTTTTATTTTAAATAAATTATATCAATTGTTTTACCGAGTCATGATGATTATACATAAGTTTAAAGAATTTTTGAAATACAGAATAATTTGCAGTAACAGTTAAAGCTAAATCCTTATAGTTCAACAACTTTTATTTCACATCATGTGTATGAAGATGCAAAGTTAAAATGTTTTTGTTTAAGAACCCATTAAAGTTCCTCCTATGAATAGTCGGCACGCTTCTGTTCTGAAGATTTAGTACAGAAACGAACCACATTTATGATTTCGACGATACAAGCTGCGTTCGATAATGCAAATCTGAGGAGTGCTCTTATATTATAGCATATGTCACGTGCACTATAGAAAAAGAGCACTCCGACGTCTCAGAGAGTCGATTGAGAGGATTCTGTATCTCTCAACAAGGAAAAGGAACAAAAGGGAGCAAATTTACTAGGTGTTGACCAATGAAATAATCAGTATTCTAGTAAATTCGCTCATTTTTATAATTTTCATCTCATTTCAAGATACAGAATTGATCCCAGAGGATCAATTCTGTAGCTGGTCAGAGTCTCGCTACAAATGCTTTGAAGCATTTGATGGACCAATTAGAAAAAAAGAATTTTACAAACTAACCAATTAAAAAACACTTCAAAGCATTTGCGTTGACCGTATCCTGTATCTTGAAACGAGGTGAAAATTACAAAAGTGAGCAAATTTACTAGATGTTGACCAATGAAATTATTAGTATTCTAGTATTCGTTCACTTTTATAATTTTTATCTCGTTTTAAGATACAGAATCGATTCTCTGATTTGCATTACCGAACGCAACTACAATTTTATCGATAGTGTTAGAAAATGTACATAGTCATAGTAGTCAAATTGAAAATGGATGTATTGGCGGTAATGTACGAGCGATTTTGACGGTAGAGAAAAAAAACCGGCATGGCCTCTCTCAGGTTTCTCTCTGATCGTAACTACAAATCAACAATACAAATCGACAATCGAACGATAATCGTGAATAAGAAATTGATAGGTTGGGGACGCTGATAGGTTGAATTTTTCTGTCCAAATCGATTGAATGACTACAAATTACTGTGATGTGAGCGTTTCTCTACACGTGTTTGAGATGTGAAACGCGAATGAAGAGATATCACGTGGAGCTTTTAAAGAAAATAAATAAATGATTTATTTCATGTTCTCTTATATATTCTAAAGATGAAGCGTTTATCAGAAGAGAAAACAAAGCTTGTATTCGAGAAGCTAACTAAGTAGTAAGTAACTTCACAATTTAAATTATGCTCATTTCATAATTGTCTAATTGAATGTAGGTTCTAAATATACTAGATATATAATAATCTCAAATTTAATTATTGTAGCATTGGCACTAATGTGAAGAACTTGATTGATCGACCAGATGGTATTTACTGCTTTCGAGAGAAAAAGGACAGGGTGTATTATGTGTCTGAAAAAATTTTATCGTTAGCGAATAATGTAGAATCTGATCATCTGTTAAGTTTAGGCACTTGTTTTGGCAAATTCACAAAATCAGGAAAGTTCAGGTTACATATCACTGCGTTACATTATCTAGCACCTTATGCACAAGTGAGTATGCGTATTTATAAATATATTCAAATTTAAATAAGTATGATTGCAAATTTACAATATAAAATTCTTTATCAAGCACAAAATTTGGGTAAAACCTTCGGCGGAGCAACAGTTTCTTTATGGAAATCATATTATGAAATCAGGTCTCTCTCGTATAACAGAAGGCACTAATCAATATCAAGGTGTCGTCGTATTTTCCATGAACGATTTGCCACTGGTATATCGAATTAAATAATTCTCAATGCATCGTTGATTATGTCTTTCATTTAAATATTATTATATAAAAAGAGATAATAACACAATAATAAGTGCATTTTCCATTTAATGCCTTAGGGATTTGGCGTTGCTGCAAAAAGTACAGCTGATTGCAAACATGCAGATCCAGTAGCAGTCATTTGCTTTCACCAAGCAGATATTGGAGAGTACATTCGTTCGGAAGATACATTACTGTGACAAAGATTTACATCTGTTATTTTTCTTTTAAAGAAAACAATATAATTTATACAGCAAATTTGCTTATTTTTTTGCGTCTTATAATTTAGATATCTGTGATTCGTGTAATATCAAATATTAATACAAGTTGATAAAGTTAAAGATTGCTCATTGTACATTGTTGTATAATATATGTATGTATACTCCAATCATGGCATGAAATAGATTTTTTTGTTTGTAAAGAAAAGATTACAGTAGATTATATTTTATTTTATTTTACAAGTGAATTTTGTACATTACAAATTCGATTTTTATGATCAAATATAAAATGCAAATATATACATTCTATTTTTTACTACGTGTTCCACAAATTAAAATTTTTGAAATGTATTATATTTGCTAATTAAAAATATGTTAACAATTGTTGAAGTATATGTAATGTACAATATTGACAAGTAAAAATTTGTGCTCTTTTGATAAAATTATTTGTAATATATAACAATATACACGATACTTTAAATGATTTCTATTGATAGTGCGTGATGTGGTTTTGTTAGAAAATAAAAAAAGCTTCGTGAAATAAAATTTGCATGATGTATTGATGCCACAATGCAAGAAGAGAATGTATTTTCACAGATCATAAAATGAAAGTACGGTACGATTTATGACTAGCATAAACTGGCTAAGATTTACAAATTTATTTGAACTATCAATTGTTTTTTTTTTCTTTTTCATCAGTTATTACAAATGCAATGAATGCAAACGGTTCCCGAATGCGCAAATCATGAGCTACCGTGAACTCCGAATAACGACTTATCGTTTAATGTTTTTGGTGTGCAGCGTAAATAGACGAGAAATATAAATCGTCTAAAAAATTCAAGTTTTTGGCAAATAAAATATATAATCATATTTGCTCGTATCATGACGCATCGTTCACATGCTTTCGTTTACTTTTGAATGTTATACGATACCCACTTCTCACATTTCGATATAATAATCGCTTTTAATCCTCAATTGTCCTGGCAGAAAAATTTTTACAAAAAAATTAAGAATTTCTTATCTTGTCTCAATAAGGATAGTTTTTCTGTAAACATTTTTTTTCCGCTAGGATAATTGCAAACATAGAATACACGCAATCTATACTTTGTTATTACGCGATCAATTAAGGTTTGAGAGGCAGACAGATCGAACTTAGAATGTTTCTTCATATCTTTTCCTTGACATTCATGTTTAGAATTATCTTACGATATAAATCAGGTAATGATATAAATCACATAAAGCTAACCGATATCAGTAAAAAACATTCTATTATTACTGCAAGAGAATCTAATATAGAGATAATTTAGTACGAATAAAAAGTGATTCAAACACAATTTTTGAAAGAAAGAAGATACAATTTCTTATTTTTGGTATTTACATACAAAAATCACGTCTCTTCTATATTGCATAGCAAAATTTGTTTCCAACATTCTACGTTATCGTTAGTGAATTTTGAAATGTTGAATTTATTCTATAATTCGTACTTTTCTCGTTATTGATTATTATTTATCTGACACATACATACGTATGTATAAGTCAGAAATTCATTCGAAGTGCAACACAAATCCGTGTCATATTTTATCAATTGCTCCGTTTTCTCAATGTAAACATACTATAAAGAAAAAATTTCAAAACATAATAAAATTCAGGATTGGTTAAAAAATAATGATTTTTATATATTTTAACCGTTTAAAACATTCTTGATGTTTTTCACATATTTTAAACATGTATTTTTTATAAACTATTTAAAGCATGTATGAAGCATTAAAAAGTTTAAAACATGTTTAAAAAAAATTACAATATTCTTAAAAAAAATATTATCTTTTGCCAATCCTGACAAAATTACAAGAAACATTTTTTTTCTTTATCAAATTTAGCAACACAGGTTTTAGCAAGTTCACCTCTTATTTGTATCGGCCAACTTAGCTTTATAATCTTTTTTTCTTTTCCTTTAATAATAATTTTACGTTATGAAATTTTTAACATTCTTTCGTAGCTCTTATATTACTTTTTCTTTTATATCTTTTTGCTCGTTTTTAACACATTTTGTAAATATACAGATATACACGCTTTTACCGATATTGTTTTACTAATTAGATAATCACTATAAATGACATTGTATATCACATTAATTTTCAATATTTAAAGACGAACTTACTTTGTTTCTATTCCTCTTTTTCCTCATGCTTGTAACAGCACTTTAATTCCAGCGATCTTGGAATACAGAAAGAATAAATCTGTGTTTTCTTTATAAAATATTTGCATAAATATTCCAAAATATGTATGTATAATGCAATGAGAAAGTTAGCAGAGATTAACATATAGCGCGATAATAATGATTCACATACTGGCAAAACATACAGAACTATAAAACTAGAACTGGATATGTATAAATTCACACCGAAATATTATTTAAGATGCATTTTTACGAGCCGTTCAAATGTTTCAGCAACAAAAAAAGATCACGTACTTTTGTTACAGGACTTTACATGAAAAAAGACAAGAATCACCGAATTTGACATTTGAGTGATAGATTTGTGTGTGTGTGTATGTGTTGGATCAGCAACAAAGAATAAATTAAGTTTTATATATATATCGTGGTCAATATGATCGACACGGCGATAGCCGCTATCATTTTAGCTGCTGGACTAAGAATGACAAATTCGTGCTCTAATTGTTTTAGCAGCACGTGAAATTGTACTTTTAAATCCAGCTCAGATCGATAAGACCTTTTCGTTACTTATTGGCTGGGGTTTATAGTCGATTCTTATATTTAAGATTGTCTTCAGTACATCATGAATCAATTCGAGTCTTAAGATCGTCTTAAGATAAAAACCGATTATGAATACCGGCCATTATGTTTACTTTGCGATCTTATGACACGTTATTTATACATAATTATATCTTATATTTATATAGTGAAACGACGACTTATATCTTGCCAGTATGACATCTGAAGATCATGTAAACAAAGTATCTATGGGAAATCATTGCAATGCGTGAATCGACGTTTGTACTTTCGAGTAAAATTTTGATCTTCGTACTGGAAAAAGTGATAATCTTGTGCTTTTACTTGACGTGTACCAGACATCTAATATATCAAAAACGTGATATATTAGATGGAAATTCCAGTACCGTACTCTGAAAGAAAATAAAAAATAAACATATAACAAGATTTATTTCAAAAATGTAATAATTTGTAATAATTTATAAAGATATCTTCAACAGTAGAGAATGAACAAAAATCAATCGTACCTCCATAAAAAAAAAATGATGATGTTTAACGTCTCTTATTGCCATGGCGTCGGGCATATTTACGAGTTTTTCTACAAAAGAAAGATTCATACAATTCTATGTTCCAATAATATATGACATTTTTTAACTGCGACTCAGAGAGAAGTGGTGATAAATACCTGATCTTGCTTGGAGATGGAATCGGCGCATGTTCCGCGATGGCTGGTAGTACAGATCTGAAATTGTCGGTCGGACGTAGAACACCTGCAGTACGAGATGAAAGTTTCCAAATTAGTTTCTGTCTATGAGGTGTTTGCTCCTGGGCGTTATACTTGCTCAGTACAGTGCCCACCGTCCCGTGAGTGGAGCGAAAACTCTCCTCTGAGATCTAAAACGTATTAAAAATATGAGCTTTCAACAAATAAATTACACGAGCCAAGTTATCCTGTAATTTTCATTCTACTTTAATTTGTTCTTTGCTTTAATCTTGTTTCGAAAATTTATTTGAAGAATTTCCATTTCAATGAAAATATTTTTCCTCGTTTACAATTTCTTCTGATATTTATTTAGACTAAATAATAAATAAATAAAAAACGAAATAATGAAATATTTACATTGCATTTCTCTCGGAGCTCCACAGCAAACTGCATGAGTTCGTCTTTCAGCATCTGATAAGATGATGTAATGACGGATGTGTTATGTGAGGATGGGTCATCGGTAGACACAGTGGCATCTGCATTTGCATTCAGTCGATTAACAGCAGCATCCAAATAAGTGCAGAGTAATACCAGAGCCACTTCGGAGGGCCTGAGACTCGCACAACTACCGTCGCAAACCACCATTTCCAATCTGAGGATCAATTCAGATTCCTGAAACAGGACGAATGATGCTTGTACAGCTTCACCATAAATTCATTAATAAAAATGAATCAGGATATATGATAGTGTCCGTTAATAATATTAACGTGTGATTTAACAAATATTTCGAATTTCATTAGCGCTTCATTTTTTTATATCAAGAAGAGTGATCTCTCTTTTTTTTATTATCTATGTAGATAATAAAAAACTATGATCGTGGCATAGAGTTGCATGGCTGCTCTCTGTGCCAAAGATCCAGATTCAAATCCACCTAGAACACACATATATCAGATTTTATTTGATCGTTTCAAATCACCGAAAATATCTTTGCCATAAATTTCCTCTAATAAACCATTTGGAAAGCAAAACTAGCAAAAATCGTAAGTCTCATATAGCAGAAGAGATCACGTCTGTGATAAGAGACGATGGACTCAGAGATTATCCTATAAATAAATTAGGAGATGATAGCTTACCTTGACGATATTGACATACACGTCGCCGAGATGCATTTGCTTCGCTACCGCATGAAACATTTTGTTGAATAACTGTAGAAAAGTCAGAGCGGTAGTAGGTTCAGTGCCGGGTGCCCATTCCAATTTATTTCGTATCACCTCCGACATGCGCCTCAAGTCATCAGCTGTGCATCTGCACTGTGAGATCGAGATTAGGTGCTCGGCATCTATAGACTGCATCCGTTGGATGGCAGCAATGTAAAAGGCTGACACGCTGATGCAGGCCATATGTTTCTGCCTTGCCTTCATTTTAGTCAGGAATCGGTCTATCAGATTTATCGCAATGAAAAATACATCTGAAGACAAATCATACATCACTTTTAGGCATCTTAGTACATGAGCAGATCTATCTCGAGCACCAATCGTTATCTCATCGTCCTGGACAAATAGAAATTGTTCGGTAATTATATAAACAAATCATGCTATCATTAATCTTTATTAATCTATAATATATGTTAAATCTTAAAACTTTGAAGATACTATACTAAAATCTTGCTTAAAATATAGAAGATAAAGCTCATAGTCGATAGTTTCATTGATGCTGCTTATAAAATTTTACCCGTTTCTTCTGCACAACATGGATTCTTACCTGTGTTGTTATAGGTAATTGACGGAGGTCTGGTTGAAATTTGACCTCCTGGACGAGGTCTAGGATCAGGTCTTCTTGAAGTTCTTCGAGCGGAGGGATGGCATCCGGTACAGGCAAGCCCGTGTCCATTCCTGCGGTGTGCGACATCGCAACAGCTAACTACAACAATCCGACTACGACTACCCGGCAACCAGGTTTGACGGGTGTAGTGTGGCTGATGAGAAGAACCACACAACAAGAATGGCGCAGCTGGCCAGCCTTGTATCTGTAAACAGAGTAATAAGAGTATAGAGACAGAGTTCGAGATAAACTTTCGTGTCCATAATATCATTAATGAAAAAAAAATAATAAAGATGGAATATCCCAAAATTTACAAACTTTGAACAATAGTTATCTCTCGTTCGATTTAGATCAGATTTTTTCCAAATCAAAAAAAATTTTATACATCGAAAGATGGAATTACTACAGAGAAATTGTTAATACTACTACATTCTAATTATAATCAATTTTCAGCACTGTGATAAATAACATACAATAAAATTCCGTTTATTTGCACCCTATTTGTACGAAGAAGTTTATGCTCCGATAGTTATTTGGATAATAAGAGTTTGTGTTGGATTTTAGTTTTCTAAAGTCAGCTGTTATTATCAAAACTAATAAGTACTCGATTATCAACGACTGTTTTGTCCCTCGACAAGTTCGAATAAACAGAAGTATGTTAAAATTATCTTATTAATTTCCATTTGCATTTTTCAAATTTGTTATTAGAGATTGAACTCAATGCGTCGCAAGGCTTTTTCTTTTCATTGTTAAAAAATTTTTTCAGCGACATGTAATTGATATTCATCAAAGTAGATCAAGTTGACCTTATGCGGTCGGTTCACACCTTTAATGCTGAAATATTTCTGCGTCATACGCAGAACAAACGCACGATTATGCAAGGTCGATCGAATCGTTTTCTCTTTTAACACGACTGTTCATATAAACAAAATGCTACGTGCCTTTGTGCGACTCGGTTGAAAAGAGAGCGTCTCAAGGATGCAACATACTGATAAAGCACTTGGATTCTCTCTCTCTTTTCTCTCTTCTCTCTATCTTCTTTTTTTCTTCAATCACCTTCGAGGTGAGAGAGCAGATCATATTGGATATATGAAGCAACAAAGTAAGTAGAATTATTCAAAATGGATTTCCATAAAAATTATTCAATTATTCTCTAGATTTCTATTGTATTTTCTAGGAATAATTCTAATTGGAATCCATTCCGAATAGTTCCATAATAAATGTGAAAAATAATGAAGAAAAAGAAATGAATGACTATCAACATCGTGGCTAGATAGTCAGTGGCTAGTATCTTCGATAAATGAAACAATGACGTTTCGTAAACAGCCTCTTCAGATAGAGATAAAGTTATGTTTATACACTCCACCTAAACACGCCACCTTCCAAATTACTGAAATACTAAATTTCAAGTGTGCGAGAAATATAAGAGAAATCCGAGAAATCCTTATGATTATAATAATATGATTTATGATAGATATTATCAGCGTTGAAAGTTAAAGGCGAGTCACTTCCAAATTAAGCGAGTCAAGTCTGCACGATCTGACGTCACAGGGAAGATAAGTGGCATTTTCTGTCGAAAGAATTGCGTATTTTGGTCAAAGTCTTGCGTGGTTTTTGAATCAGTATCCATTATATAGGCACACATTATCCAATATTTTAAGCATATTTTTAGCATATTCTTAAAATATTAATATTATGCGCCTATAGAAATGTCGATTGACGCATCGACTCTCGATTACGAAAAATAATGAGACGTGATTATATTTTTTTTCAATGCATTCACAAGACATTAGAATAAAAGAATAAGCAAGTAAACAAGAGTGAAACGTTGAAAACAAACCTGAAATGTTGTAAGTTACCTGTCTAATACTACGATATTCATATATGACTTCACGATAAAACAAGACAAGTTAAAAGTTTTGCCAGTTAAATTAATCTCCGATTGAATTATTGGCAATTTCTATATATATAGAGTAATTTTAATTCCAGTTTAATTTACTTTCTATCCTTTATAAGAATTTAAAAAAAATAAAGACAATAGAATAGAAAACACTATATTCGTTAAAGCAATTCTTCATTCATAATATTTCTTGTGAATTTATATACAATAATTTCCAGTTTAAATATAAAAAAAAGGATAAATTAAACCGAGTTTGATCCGAGTTTAAGTTAATCTACTAAATTAAAGTTAATCTATAGTGATGAAAAAAAAGGTTAATGTCTGTTTCTATCAAGGTAGATCAACTTTAATTTTAATTTAACTTACTTTTTATTTTTTTCCAGATCTAAGAATTAGAAAAGAATAAAGATTAAGTTGAACCGAGATTAAAATTAGTCTATATTAGTAGAAATGGACATTAGACTACCTGTTTAGTTCCACACGCGGTGGAGGTTTACTTAGAAAAGACTTCTCTATCGTTCGGAGCAAACAAATCATTCGTAAAATATGTAGTAGCTTGGAGACTCGAGATTCGGATAACAGAAGAGGGGGAAAAAAGAGAAAGATAGTGTTTAAAACTCGTTTCCTTCTCTGACTAACAAAACGGTCCAGAGCTGACATGATGACGAAAGAAAGGTGCCGTATTACGTAGAATTTCGCAGCTCAGTAAAGAAATTTTTTTTTAGTATAAAATAAATATGTAATTATATATATAATATTGTTATCAAATGTTATATTAATTTAAAAAATTATTTAAAAATTAAAAAATAATTAAAAATTCGAATTTGCTAAATATTCTCGGAATGATTTAATCTCTATCAATATAATGTATGCTGTGTTATATAATTATAATATAATTTAGTAGTATTTCATCGAATAATCGAGATAAGGTATTTTTGCATCGTTACGAGGTTAAAGGTTACGTCATCGTTGTATATTCTCAGAGTTCAACGTACTCCAGACCGACGTAAATGTTTATCGATTTTTCGAATGTTACACGTATTAGAAGATGCACCTATATAATAAAATCTGTATAAATTCTGCAATGGCTAAATATTAGCAGCAAATACTGCAAATATAAGAATAAATTATTTAAAAAATTATCTATATAAAAAAAGAATTATAAAGGTATAAATAATAAATAATAAATTATTAAACTTAAATAAAAAAATAAAATCATTTATTATATGTAAATACAGTACACAGAAATATTTAAGAAAGTTTTATACGGTAATAAAGAAACGCGATTAACGTAATTAAATTTTTTAAAATTTAATAATTTCAGAAGCAAAGGATCCTTTGACATTTCCAAACATTTGAGACGATACTTAATTATAACCGACGAACTATTTTTCGAATCTATACAAATTTCTAGAAATGATAGAATTAATAAAAAATTAAATATGTTTAAATCAATTGATAAAAATAAAATAAACCAAGAATGAAATAACCGATTTCTGTTCGTTTGTGTTCGACTTATGCATTTTTATCGTTTCCTTTTCCGCCAATGTAACATTGCGAATCTAGAGGGGAGGGAGCTATAAAGGCCAAGGTCCCCCTTGAAATCTTCTTTTTTAAAAATATTTATAACGAAATGTTATATAACATTTTTAATATTTCTGAAATGTTTAATTACAATTTTGATATTTCAAAAATATTTTTAATTTAAAAAACTATAATAGATATAAAAACATAGATCTAATTATTAATTATATTAAATTAAATAATACTTTTTCATTTCATTTAGATTACATTAAATTTAAATAATACTTTTCCAATTTATAATTTAAATAATAATTTAATATTCTCTATCTTTTCATATTTGATTTAAAAAAATGCAATGCACACTAATTTAAATTCTTCAACTTTTTCTTTTATCTTTTTCTAATTCTAAGCATTAGAATATTCTTTAAATTAATTGTAAAATTAAATAAGATTTAATCTGCATTGGAAACATTATAAAACAAAGGATTAAGTCGCTTGGCTCAAATAAATTGCAAATTTTACTTCCTCGTTATTTCCTTTTTTTTTATTATTTTTTTTTAATTTTTATTAAATTGTAAGAATATCGTTTATTTTCATTGCTATTTTGTTATCACTCTGACTTCATTCAGGGCACTATAAAATTGTTCGGAATGCATACGTGCCTAAGAATAAACAAAAAAAATACTCGTAATCGAGTTCATAGTAGAAGAGTACAATGACCCACGCATCGCTTTCTTCAGAAGCAAATCAGAAGCTTAATCGATAGAACAGCAAAGGAACTTCGTTCAAAACAATCTCTCAAATTTCTTAGATCCGAGCGTCAAATGATTCCCATTAGTCCCGTTGCTATCAACAAACAGAATATCTAGATCTAAATAGAACGATCCTTCTACTTTATGATACAAAGAATCGACGTATCAACGATTGGAAACTCGATTTAAATCGGGAGTAAAAAAATAATCGAAATTCATTCTTTTCTGGCTGAATTTATCGTCTTAAAAATCCAGTCCACGCGATTAGATGAAGGAAGTAAAAAGAAACGAAAACAATCAATTGACAAATCCATCGAAATTTCGCGAAATCTTTTTTCCCCTCCATTATTCTTCGTCTCGGCAAAGTATAAACGAAATATAGTAAGATTAATGGTGAATACTCACCCGGATGCGTCCGAAACGCTTTTACGTCAGCGAATCACCCAATTTTGGCCCGCGTTTTACTTCTCAGTCCAGGAGAATAAACAGAAACAGAACCTGATACTACGACGACTGACGGTTGGTTCGTTGGTCGTATACAATAATAGCGATGGCCAGATGGCCTTCCTCTTCCATCTCCTCTCTCCCCCCCTCAAGTTCCGTAAATGCGTCGCTGATTCAGCTGATCACCATGCGCAAGCGCGCCAATCACTACTGTCGGCAAAGAAATTGGCAGCATTGACTAAAGATATCTTTTCATGCTAATACTCATTAACGGCAAAATATGTCACGTGATCGAAATTGACGCTTGCTATTCATCAATTTTCAACCACGTGATCTGTTTTGCCGCTAAAAACGAATGTCAAATGTCGACTTGAAAAGGCATCTTTAACCTAACCTAACCTAATCCTAACCTCACTATTGCGAAACATAAAGAACGAGGTTTAAATGAAAATTATGATCATTGTCGTACTTTTTGTGATGTCAAATAAAAAAAAATATGTCACGCTCTAGAATTTTGCAGTATGGTATTCCGTTTTTAATCTTTATTCTCGGTGGATCGGTTGGCCTTCGAGAATTTACGGAATTACGGTAATTAGGAGATAAAAAAGTATCACCTGTTAGACACACATTTCCTTATCAAAATAAATCTTCAGTTATAGATATAAACATACATCTCAATATAATATACACGATGAATTAGAAAAAGAGGGATTTCAAATGAAATCACCAGAAGAAATTACTTTGGAGAAAGAATATGAAAAGTTGGAGAAGGTATGTATGTTAGAATAATGGGCAAAGGTTGAAATAAATTTTACAAGATTACAGATCTGTTCTTTTTGCTAAATTTCTTGCAGTTTATTTTCTTTTTTTTAAAGAAACAATTGTGCAATAAATTTAGCTAAAAAGAACAAGCCTTATTAGATCTGTAAAATATAATTTTTTGTATTCAGCTTGATCTTGACAACTGGAAGAACATTAGAATACCACGACCATGGGAGGAACCAGAAGATACAAAAAATTGAGTATAAATAAAAACATTTTCAGTCTATGTGATTGATATATAAATAATAGAAACATGTTATCAAATTATCTTTAGCAACACTTATAATATTATTAGATAATGCTAAGAAATAGAATTTTTTATATAGTCTATTTTGGTGTAATCTTATTTAAGAAATTTATTAACAATAATTGACAAATTTTTTATATTTATAATTACATTAATATAACACTATTCACAGTTTTTCAAAAAGATTTCCAAAGTTTATGATTACAAATAATTGTACAAACATAATGTAATATATGAGAAAAGATCTTCACCTTGTAAGTCATATAGAGAGCATCCTAAAGCTTTAAATTCTTGGAATGTGATTGATAAATTAAAATATTTATTTTTATACTAATGCTTAATTATAATATTTCATCGACAGTTTATATATGTGTATATGGCAGTGAAGTAATATAGCAAGAATTTATGCTGCTCTGTAAGATTCATTTGTAGGCAAATCAAATTCGTTTTAAATGAATTACATTAATTACTTGTCTATATTAACATTCTTTTAAATGCATTTAAATGTTATTACATTTTCTTTTTCTAACTACGTTCGACTTTTAATTCTTTTGCAGAATACATTTGAGTATTTGTCAATACTTATCACACTAATAATATTAATAGCATATTCTGGTCAACAGTAAATTATGTAGGTTTAATAGATTTTTAAAATCAGTGTTTAAAAGATGACCTATGAAAAAAAATTTGATTACATAAAATCTTTCTGTAATTATATCTAATATATACAATATACGTGCAAAATTATTTTGCATAACACACAATGTCATGCCCATTGCTTGACACAATTTTTACTTTACCTTTTTTGAAATCCGTACATGTCTAATAAACTTTGTTGTCTAGAAACTGTTGGCGATTGTTTATTTTGACGTAATCCTTTCTTTTTTGTTATAACTTGTGTCTAAGAAACATTTTATAAATAATTAACTAAGTAGTAACTTTAATATTTTCTATTATTTCTAAAACATATATATATATATATCTGCGTATTTACCAGATTCGATGAATTTCGTTTCTTCAATGTATTTCTTTTATGGGGGAAACTTTGAACATTTTTTGTATTTATCCATTCGAGTGAATCATTTTGCGAATTATTCGTATTTTCGTAATTGTTTATATCAATAATGTCCATACTAGAATTTGACGATACTAAATAATTATTTGTTACATAATTTTTATCAGTTGTTATATCTGTTGATGGTACATCGTCTATCCTATCTATATTAGGATTTGATTTTTTAGAAACATTTTTATAAATATTAATTAAACAATCATTTTGATTTGATAAAAATGGATCATTAATATTTTCCAATGAATTTGTATTTTGTTCAGTATCTGTTATAGATAATTTTTTTTCTAGTTGTTTTCGAGTTACATCAGATACATTCGTATCTAAAATTGTATTATGCTTCGTACTTATCCAACTAGTTTCAATGTCTTTATTCTCTGACTCAAGTACGTTGCACTCTTTATTATCTGATTTTGAGAAATATTTACTTTCTATTATAGTATTTTCATCTATGAGAGTTCGTCTTACACGCATTAAATTTCTTCCTCTTTTTCGATAATTCCCGTTGGATAAAATACTTGGTGAAGTTGTGAGATCAGACACTCGTTTGATAAATGGATTTTTTTGTTTGAGTAAATCTGGTGATGTGTTATTTGTTAAATTTAAATAATCTTCTGATGCTTTGTTAGAATTGTCGATTAGCTTAGCATTTCGACTTGATTTATACATATCCAAAATAGTAGTATTGTGTAAATCATCCTCTGGATCGCTTTGAATGTTCGAACTATTATGCGAATTTAATGAGACATATGCATCCTTTAGAGACTTTCTTTCTTTACCAAGCTCTTTTCCATTAAGATATGACGAATTCAATACAGAGAGAGGAGAATTTTGACATTTCATTTTGTTAGTATTATCGATTAACTTAGCATCTCGACTTGATTTATACATATCCAAAATAGCAGTATTGTGTAAATCACGATCCTCTGGATCGCTTTGAATGTTCGAACTATTGTGCGAATTTAATGAGACGTATGCATTCATTAGAGACTTTCTTTCTTTATCAAGCTCTTTTCCATTAATAAATGACGAATTCAATACAGAGAGAGGAGAAGAGTTTTGACATTTTAATTTATATTTACCTGACCAAATACTAGTTTGAATCATTGTTTGTTCTATATTTCGCTTTCTTTTTCGTTCCTACAATGTGTAATTAAATTTAATGATTCTTTTTAATTTTTATTACTAGAGTACTATATTATTTCTAAAGATTATCCAATATATAGTTTTATAATAGTTAATTCAACTACTTACGATTTTATCTGGATTAAAATCATGAACTATTTTTAAAGTAGCTGGATCGCAATTACCAAGAGCTAGTTGTAAAGCAAGGTCCTCATCTAACTCTTTCCCAGCATATTGCAATTGATCTTCAGTGATATTAGCTGGAGGTGGATTCAATCGTACTTGCTTCCTTTGCAATGGACAGAATACTAATTGATGTTTGAACGTTATTTCAGCTAATATAAATGCGTCTCTGTATTCCTGTGACACGACTAGCGATTTCATGTTGAGAACCGAACCTAAACGTGTCAATGCCTTAAAAAATATTGAATTTATATTACTTAAGACAAGCATACAACTTTCTCATTCGTATATCAGATTTCTTATTGTATCCATAAAACTCTTGTTAAGTTTTTCTTATTGTTAAGCTATGGAAATGTCTATTGTTAAATTTGGCATAACTAACCCTATGTATATTTTGGTCTGTACTTTTCGTAATAAATTTTCGTGCTTTTCCCAAGCCAATACCAGGAAGAGAAGGAAGATAGTCACAACCAGACAAAATACAGATATGGCGGAACTTATCCATTTCAAATTGTTCAGGTCTTACATTCATTGCCAAATGTAATTGATCTTGTGCGATCAAAATTCCATTTCCAACAAGATCCATTTTAAAAAATATCTATAATAAAAAAGAACAAAAAACATTTTAATAAATGAAGATTATATTTGGAATGTTTATCTAATAGCTGATATCTGACTTTTAAGACTTAAGAAAATTGATGTATAGCAAAAAATTAGATACTTTCCATTTGACACAAGTAAACACAAATATTATATATTAAAGAAGTAACATAAAATAAAATTTAAAGAAAGAATTAAGCTATAAATATAAGAGAATACAATATACTAACTTTTTTACATCCAAATAGCGTTAAGTCACTATCCTCTGTGATAACAATATCAGCTATACCACTAATATTTAAATATGCCAATTGTGCATCAGCTTCATAAGGAGCTATAATACAATCAATGTTCTCATTCTGACATTGTTTAATTAATTTTAATGCTATCGCGTGAGTGATATCTACAGCTCGTCTCAATAAATTTGTTCCTTCTGTAACTTGACCCATTTGTATCAATTCGATTGCTTTACGACGATTTAGTTCTCTGGTTCTATAAAATAATACAGTTGTACATGTTATTTATTTATCCAATTCAGAATTTACAAGCTTAAGTTTCATTGAACTTAAAGCAATTTTTGGATAAAACTTAGTTTTTTAACTTCATAATATTTGAATAATTTATTTCTTTATACATACTTTCGTCTCTTAATTTCTGTCTGCTCTTTAGCAGGCAATCGTTGACCGTCGAATACCAGAATGGGTTTTATCTTGTATCTCAAAAGCATCTTTATATATTTCATACAATACACAACGTACCTATGAATAGAAAAATTATTAAACATCCATTAATGTAAAAAAGAATAGACCTGTCCTTTTTGACTGAACTTTTGCACATTCATCTTTCTTCCTCTTCTTTCCTGCTGGAAAGAAAAGGAAAAAAGATGAATTGCAAAGATTCAGCCAAAAACACAGACTTAATATCAATGAGAATAATAAATATATTTAATGCTTACGCATCTGTCGTTTCTCCCATCATTAATTTTTCAGCACAGGAAAATGCACCTTTGTGTAACCAACAATAAGAATCAATTGCAACAGTCCCACCAGAAAACTCTTTGATATTCGTCTTTCTAGAAGACTTTTCTAGGAACGGTAGTAGCCCAGTTATACCCATATTTATATAAATTAATTTCTGTCGCAGTTTAAACAATTAAATTGTATTAAATAACAAATTCTATTAAAATACGTTCCTTACATCAAAACTACGTTACCGCCAGATTCGCTGACATTGCGCATGTCATTATAAATATGCTACCAACGTTGAAATTCTAAATTCCTTTTTTCATCCTAATGAATTTTGAAAAATTTATTTTGGTTATCTATCTTTTCGCGAAAAGGCAGCCAACCTAAATCTGAATAGTTTTTTCATAATAGAAATATTTCTATGAATTTTTCTAGGTATATGTTCTGTGATGAAACCGCGGGAAAGAATTGTATTTGTTTCTATTGAATGTTAGATTAATTTCGATTCAATTTACTTTTTCTAGTTTTTAGAATTACAAGAAAGTGAAGAGTAAATTGAACTGAGATTAAATCTACAATAGCAGAAATCGGCATAAATTATACTTATGGCTTTGATGCACTCAGATGTTGTTTTCATTATAAGTAATTATTTAGTTTTTTAGTTCTCTTTACCTCCAATTATATTTTTATATTGTGATAAAAAAAACTGAATCAATCACAGCTTGAATTCAGTTTCTGGAATATCATCGAATGATAAAAAATGATGACAACCATACTTACTCTACTTATCATCTGATCTACATGATTTTCTTTCTGATTATTTGCGGCTTTTAAGACGAAAATTTCTGATAGAAAATCAAAGATGGATATTCCAGAAAACTCGATTGAAGATGATTATAAAAGGTACATTCTTTGATATAGTTAGAATAAAGTAAGCTTTAATTTCTGTTTTATAAAAATACACATCTCTCTCATACATATGTACATATATAAAATATTTTTACATTTTACTGTATACTTTTTGCAAACTTCCATTAAATTGATTATAATATAA